TACATACATAATTATTACACCATAAGTTTAGAAAATAAGTATCATACACCTTTTTAAACATATTGATACCGTTGGATCAAATGTCTTTTGGTAATTTATCTGCCTTTTAGTGGGATAATTATAAAAAAAACATAAAATAACTGGGCATCCAGTACAAAAATAATTATAAAATCTAAAGAATTGATGAACCGGTTTTGGTTCCAACATAATAAAAACTAGCGATTTCGGTTCTATTACGGATAATTATAGCGGGATTTCGGTTCTGTTACGGATAATTATAGCGGGTAGCCATCTGTAGTCACCTATTTATGGAGGATGAGGTTGACATTGATGATTGGTGAGAATGATGATAGTGTTGGTGATGATTAGCGAAGGATGTTGTGGATGGTTGAGATTGATGACAAATGTGATGTTGATCGGTGGAGGTGGGTGGGTGGTGTCATTAATATTTTATATTTTATAATAATAAATAATTAAACAGAAGAAAAAAATTGTAATAATTAAAAAAGTAACGGTGTTTGTTTTAGGAAGATCGAAGTTAGACCAATTTGCCCTAACTAGCTTTTATAGAAAAGTTCATGTTGAACTCTTTTAAAGCTATTGAATATAATCATTCGACACTGTTTGATCTTCATTGTTTTTGTTATTAATTCACGTCTTTTATAGAATCTATGAATCTACGTTTTTTTTTATTGTTTTAACAATAAGTCTTAATATTGTTCCACAAAATATTATAAGAATTCTTAATACATACATACATAATTATTACACCATAAGTTTTAAAGCTATTGAATATAATCATTCGACACTGTTTGATCTTCATTGTTTTTGTTATTGATTCACGTCTTTTATAGAATCTATGAATCTACGTTTTTTTTATTGTTTTAACAATAAGTCTTAATATTGTTCCACAAAATATTATAAGAATTCTTACTACATACATACATAATTATTACACCATAAGTTTAGAAAATAAGTATCATACACCTTTTTACACATATTGATACCGTTGGATCAAATGTCTTTTGGTAATTTATCTGCCTTTTAGTGGGATAATTATAAAAAAACATAAAATAATTGGGTATCCAGTACAAAAATAATTATAAAATCTAAAGAATTGATGAACCGGTTTTGGTTCCAACATAATAAAAACTAGTGATTTCGGTTCTGTTATGGATAATTATAGCGGGATTTTGGTTCTGTTACGGATAATTATAGCGGGTAGCCATCTGTAGTCACCTATTTATGGAGGATGAGGTTGACATTGATGATTGGTGAGAATGATGATAGTGTTGGTGATGATTAGCGAAGGATGTGGTGGATGGTTGAGATTGATGACAAATGTGATGTTGATCGGTGGAGGTGGGTGGGTGGTGTCATTAATATTTTATATTTTATAATAATAAATAATTAAACATAAGAAAAAAATTGTAATAATTAAAAAAGTAACGGTGTTTGTTTTAGGAAGATCGAAGTTAGACCAATTTGCCCTACCTAGCTTTTATCGAAAACTTCATGTTGAACTCTTTTAAAGCTATTGAATATAATCATTCAACACTGTTTGATCTTCATTGTTTTTGTTATTGATTCACGTCTTTTATAGAATCTATGAATCTACGTTTTTTTTATTGTTTTAACAATAAGTCTTAATATTGTTCCACAAAATATTATAAGAATTCTTACTACATACATACATAATTATTACACCATAAGTTTTAAAGCTATTGAATATAATCATTCGACACTGTTTGATCTTCATTGTTTTTGTTATTGATTCACGTCTTTTATAGAATCTATGAATCTACGTTTTTTTATTGTTTTAACAATAAGTCTTAATATTGTTCCACAAAATATTATAAGAATTCTTACTACATACATACATAATTATTACACCATAAGTTTAGAAAATAAGTATCATACACCTTTTTACACATATTGATACCGTTGGATCAAATGTCTTTTGGTAATTTATCTGCTTTTAGTGGGATAATTATAAAAAAAACATAAAATAATTGGGTATCCAGTACAAAAATAATTATAAAATCTAAAGAATTGATGAACCGGTTTTGGTTCCAACATAATAAAAACTAGCGATTTCGGTTCTGTTACGGATAATTACAGCGGGATTTCGGTTCTGTTACGGATAATTATAGCGGGTAGCCATCTGTAGTCACCTATTTATGGAGGATGAGGTTGACATTGATGATTGGTGAGAATGATGATAGTGTTGGTGATGATTAGCGAAGGATGTTGTGGATGGTTGAGATTGATGACAAATGTGATGTTGATCGGTGGAGGTGGGTGGGTGGTGTCATTAATATTTTATATTTTATAATAATAAATAATTAAACAGAAGAAAAAAATTGTAATAATTAAAAAAGTAACGGTGTTTGTTTTAGGAAGATCGAAGTTAGACCAATTTGCCCTACCTAGCTTTTATAGAAAAGTTCATGTTGAATTCTTTTAAAGCTATTGAATATAATCATTCAACACTGTTTGATCTTCATTGTTTTTGTTATTGATTCACGTCTTTTATAGAATCTATGAATCTACGTTTTTTTTATTGTTTTAACAATAAGTCTTAATATTGTTCCACAAAATATTATAAGAATTCTTACTACATACATACATAATTATTACACCATAAGTTTTAAAGCTATTGAATATAATCATTCGACACTGTTTGATCTTCATTGTTTTTGTTATTGATTCACGTCTTTTATAGAATCTATGAATCTACGTTTTTTTTATTGTTTTAACAATAAGTTTTAATATTGTTCCACAAAATATTATAAGAATTCTTACTACATACATACATAATTATTACACCATAAGTTTAGAAAATAAGTATCATACACCTTTTTACACATATTGATACCGTTGGATCAAATGTCTTTTGGTAATTTATCTGCTTTTAGTGGGATAATTATAAAAAAAACATAAAATAATTGGGTATCCAGTACAAAAATAATTATAAAATCTAAAGAATTGATGAACCGGTTTTGGTTCCAACATAATAAAAACTAGCGATTTCGGTTCTGTTACGGATAATTATAGCGGGATTTCGGTTCTGTTACGGATAATTATAGCGGGTAGCCATCTGTAGTCACCTATTTATGGAGGATGAGGTTGACATTGATGATTGGTGAGAATGATGATAGTGTTGGTGATGATTAGCGAAGGATGTGGTGGATGGTTGAGATTGATGACAAATGTGATGTTGATCGGTGGAGGTGGGTGGGTGGTGTTATTAATATTTTATATTTTATAATAATAAATAATTAAACAGAAGAAAAAAATTGTAATAATTAAAAAAGTAACGGTGTTTGTTTTAGGAAGATCGAAGTTAGACCAATTTGCCCTACCTAGCTTTTATCGAAAACTTCATGTTGAACTCTTTTAAAGCTATTGAATATAATCATTCAACACTGTTTGATCTTCATTGTTTTTGTTATTGATTCACGTCTTTTATAGAATCTATGAATCTACGTTTTTTTTATTGTTTTAACAATAAGTCTTAATATTGTTCCACAAAATATTATAAGAATTCTTACTACATACATACATAATTATTACACCATAAGTTTAGAAAATAAGTATCATACACCTTTTTACACATATTGATACCGTTGGATCAAATGTCTTTTGGTAATTTATCTGCTTTTAGTGGGATAATTATAAAAAAAAACATAAAATAATTGGGTATCCAGTACAAAAATAATTATAAAATCTAAAGAATTGATGAACCGGTTTTGGTTCCAACATAATAAAAACTAACGATTTCGGTTCTGTTACGGATAATTATAGCGAGATTTCGGTTCTGTTACGGATAATTATAGCGGGTAGCCATCTGTAGTCACCTATTTATGGAGGATGAGGTTGACATTGATGATTGGTGAGAATGATGATAGTGTTGGTGATGATTAGCGAAGGATGTGGTGGATGGTTGAGATTGATGACAAATATGATGTTGATCGGTGGGGTGGGTGGGTGGTGTCATTAATATTTTATATTTTATAATAATAAATAATTAAACAGAAGAAAAAAATTGTAATAATTAAAAAAGTAACGGTGTTTGTTTTAGGAAGATCGAAGTTAGACCAATTTGCCCTACCTAGCTTTTATAGAAAAGTTCATGTTGAACTCTTTTAAAGCTATTGAATATAATCATTCGACACTGTTTGATCTTCATTGTTTTTGTTATTGATTCACGTCTTTTATAGAATCTATGAATCTACGTTTTTTTTTATTGTTTTAACAATAAGTCTTAATATTGTTCCACAAAATATTATAAGAATTCTTACTACATACATACATAATTATTACACCATAAGTTTTGAAAATAAGTATCATACACCTTTTTACACATATTGATACCGTTGGATCAAATGTCTTTTGGTAATTTATCTGTCTTTTAGTGGGATAATTATGAAAAAAAACATAAAATAATTGGGTATCCAGTACAAAAATAATTATAAAATCTAAAGAATTGATGAACCGGTTTTGGTTCCAACATAATAAAAACTAGTGATTTCGGTTCTGTTACGGATAATTATAGCGGATAGCCATCTGTACTCACCTATTCATGGAGGATGAGGTTGACATTGATGATTGGTGAGAATGATGATAGTGTTGGTGATGATTAGCGAAGGATGTGGTGGATGGTTGAGATTGATGACAAATGTGATGTTGATCGGTGGAGGTGGGTGGGTGGTATCATTAATATTTTATATTTTATAATAATAAATAGTTAAACAAAGAAAAAAATTGTAATAATTAAAAAAGTAACAGTGTTTATTTTAGAAAGATCGAAGTTAGACCAATTTTAACAAAAGGAATCACTTATATCAATTTTCTTAAAGTTGGACCAAATATGAAGATTGAAGGAAACCAAAGTAAAAAAAAAAAAAAAAGTAATTTACTCTATATATATATATATATATATATATATATATTAAAAGTTAAAGTTGGTGATGGTATTTTTAGGTTATCCTGATGCACAACAGTATGTTGTCGTTTGCAGAGTTGCAGAATCTTTAACGAGTTCTCCCAATTAACCCTTGGCACATCATTAATAATCCCCATCTCTTCACAACTGTCTTCTCTCTTTTATAAGTTTCTTGGTTGTAGAGCCCTCTTAAAACAACTTTCCATTTTTATCGTTCCCCATATAAACTCCTCAAACTGTCGCCGTCAGATCTCCATCTCTTACCCAATCCTAACCGTGCACTTCTCTGCTCTTTACTCTCACTCTAACTTTCTCTCTCTAGCCCCCCATTCGTGGATCTCGTCACTCCTAAATTCTGTAATTGTTTACATCTCTTTTTTTATCTCTAATAAGGAATCCTTCCTAAAGAAATCTTTTCAACCTGGTTTTTCCTAATCGGATTATATCCATCTTTGAACCTTCTTGATTTGAAGTCGGTTTTTGTTTCTTTCTTGATTTCAACTCGAGGTTTTGTTTTCTCATACGAATCTTTCCTAAATCCTTCTTTTCAGTTCCACTTCTCGTAATCTAGTCACGAATCTCAAAAAACTTTCTTGATTTGAAGTTGGATTTTTGTATCTTTCTGGGTTTTGGTTTGTTTCCCTCATTTCTTCTCCAAGAATCCCCCCGACTCACTGTTTTCAACTTGGTTTCTGGGAATCCAATCATAAGCTTGTAATTTTCTTGATTCCAACTAGGGTACTTCTCGTTTTGTTACTTGAATTGGATTATGGAGGATCGGAACTACATCAACCAGTCGTCCCAGCGAGTTCACGGCATGTCTGACATCGTTTTCGAGTGCGTGTTATCGTACATACACGACACACGTGACCGGCAGTCCATATCTTTGGTCTGCCGGAGGTTATGGCAACTCGAAGCTCATACACGAAAACACGTAACAATAGCGCTGTGTTACACGGCAACTCCTAAACAGCTCTCACGGAGGTTCCCGTTTCTAGAGTCCTTGACAATAAAAGGGAAGCCACGCGCCGCCATGTATAACTTGATTCCGGAGGACTGGGGTGGGTTTGCAACGCCGTGGGTGGAGGAGATTGCGAAATCTTTCAGTTGCATAAAAACTGTGCACTTCAGAAGGATGATTGTAAAGGATGAAGATCTTGAACTGTTAGCCCGTGAGCGTGGGTCTGTTCTTCAGGTTCTTAAGCTTGATAAATGTTCTGGATTTTCTACTGATGGGCTTCGCCATATTTGTCGCTCTTGCAGGTATTTTGTCGTCTTATGGCTTCTATATATACCGTGTTTAACTGTTAAAATCTCACCAGAGATTGGATTCATTGAGAGTTTAATCTTCACATTTTTATATAAAAACCTTTTTCTCTAAATTTATTTCTGGATTACTCTGTTGTGTTTTTCTTTTTTGGGAAATTGTTATACTCTCCTTTTATTCTTTGCTCTGTTTCAATAATTTGTGAGTGCAAGTTATTAGTAGCGAAATTTACAAATGATCGATCTTTTTTTATCTTTTTTTCCTTTTAATTTAATTTTAGAAGATGAGTGAATCTTTGGCAGATCTTTTATTTGACATCTGTAGAAGCTATATCTGTTAAAACCCAACGATTCATATTTTTTTCTTGATTTCTATGAATTAATAATTATGGGTGAAATTATTAGACCTTGATGAAATGTTAGGTCCTCAATGTGAATGCTTGAATATATCTAGAAGGTTATGACATTTTCTTGAAATGCACTCAAAGCTATAATTAATCAACAAAAATGGCATTTTTCTACATAATTATGGTGGGGTTTTGATTTTCTGTAGATTACATTATTTGGTGCAATGTTTCCTTCTTTTATTCTTTTTCAGAATTATTTGATGCCATTAGTAGCAATTAACAGTGTTGTTTTTTAGCTTGAATTACGTCTTGTCGTCGAGCTTCTTTTCTACATCCATCATTCAAGATTCATGATTACATTTGACTATTTTGTTTCACATTCTTAGCTTTTGAAAACGTTTAGCACGGGGTATTATTTAAATTTCTTGAAACTGGTAGAATTTATATTGATGTCAGAAAATTCATCAGTTTGACTTCAAATGTCAACGGATCATACTCGTCTAATAACATATCAAACGCATTAATACTTGCTTCTTGTATGTGTCATACATAACAAACTGTAAAACCCTTTTTGTTATTCTAAAATATGATTCTAGGAATTATATGCAATTGGACAAGTTAAACTTATAGTTTTATGCAATTGCAGGAACCTTAGAGTCTTGTTTTTAGAAGAGAGCCAAATATTAGAAAAGGATGGAGAGTGGCTACATGAGCTTGCTATGAGCAACACAGGGGTACTCGAAACATTGAACTTTTACATGACAGATCTTAGCCAAGTTAGTGTTAAAGATCTGGAGCTAATAGCCAAGAAATGTTTGTGTCTACTATCTGTGAAGATAGGCGACTGTGAAATCTTGGAGCTTGCTGGATTCTTCAACCATGCTAATTCACTTGAAGAATTTGGCGGGGGTTGTTTCAATGAGCAAACCGAAGTGTATAATCATGTGATGTATCCCCGAAGAGTGACCCACTTAGGTGTGAACTACATGAGTACAAGTGAAACTATCCTTGTGTTACCTTTTGCTTTTCGCCTCAAAAAACTGGATCTTCTCTATGCCCTTCTTGACACCGAAGACCACTGTCGCTTGCTCCAACGGTGCACCAGTTTGGAAATACTTGAGGTACAAACAAAGCTTGATTTTTGGTGTTTAAAAGATGTAAAAAGATAAAAATAAATATATAGTCATCCAACGTACACATTATTGTTTCAGTAACTTGGAATGAACTAATTCTGAATTCAAATATATGAAAAAACAGACAAGAAACGTGATTGGAGACCGAGGAATGGAAGTTCTTGCGCGATACTGCAAGAAGCTAAAACGGCTTCGAGTGGAGCGAGGAGCAGATGAACAAGAAATGGAAGATGAAGAAGGTGTCGTTTCTCAAAGGGGATTGACGGCAGTAGCACAAGGGTGTCTAGACTTAGAATATATCGCAGTATACGTATCCGATATCACAAACGCAGCTCTAGAAACCATGGGCATGAACTTGAAAAAACTCAGAGATTTCCGTATGGTGTTGCTGGAACGAGAAGAAGTCATCACAGATTTGCCACTCGATAATGGAGTCCGATCTTTACTCAGTGGGTGCCAACAGCTTAGAAGATTTGCTCTGTATCTCCGACCAGGAGGGCTAACGGACGTGGGTTTGGCTTATATTGGTCAAAACAGCCAAAATATAAGATGGATGTTGCTAGGGTATCTAGGGGAATCTGATACTGGGATTTTAGGGTTCTCGAGAGGATGCCCTAGCCTGCAAAAGCTTGAAGTGAGAGGGTGTTGTTTTAGTGAACGTGCACTTGCGATGGCTGTTTTACAGTTGAGGTCTTTAAGATACTTATGGGTACAAGGGTATCGGGGATCTCCGACTGGATGTGATCTGTTGGCAATGGCGCGACCTTTTTGGAATATTGAGATAATTCCTCCAAGAAAGGTTATTGGTGGAGATGGTAAAGAGAAAGAACATCATGCACATATACTTGCTTATTACTCGCTTGCTGGACCAAGAACAGATTTTCCGCCTTCTGTCATTCCACTTGACTCCATTGCTAGATATGAATAAACACATGTACATAGGGTTCAGAATTTCAGTGAGGTAAAAGTGTTTGTCTTGAACACACGTCATAAATGGTCATCCATAGGCTGATATAATTGGTTCTACTTTGTTTTTTTTTTTTTTTTTTTTTTTTTCTTTTGTTTCTTGTATCATGCTTTCTGTATCGTTACTGTTCATAATGGTTTCCTTTGGGTTGTCGTTACTTTTGGAATGGTAGGCATGTGATGATAGTTTTGTTATCTTAGAAAGATGTACAATTGATGAGCTATTGCCGGGATTAATATTGAGTTTTGAAGGACACAAGATATGTTTTGTTGATGTCGTTTGTCTTGTGATTAGCACTAAGATTCTATTTGGAAAATGAAGACCAAAAAAATTGAAAGACAATGGAATTTTAGAGAATAAAACTAAGATTCTTCATGAGAATCTATACGCTAAAGACTTGGAACAGTTTTCATATGAATAACCCTGTGGATGCTTTTGGCAAAACGTCAATTACTCTAGCAAATATTAGAATAACATATATGCTAAAGTCTAAAGACTTGAACAGTTTTCATATGAATAGATGAAATTGCCCAATGGGTTCGGTGATTTGGTCGTATTCTTATGTTACTGAATCTTGATTATTGCATCAAGATTTGCTTTTTATTTAAGCAACTGCTTTCCAATCTTGTTGACATGAAACTCTTCAGAAGCAAGAGTTGAGTGTGCTTCAAGGAATGAAAGTGGGGGATCTTTGTGACGGATGAGCATGGAAACATTTTCAAACTTTGGGTTTAAACCATTGAGTAGGTATGAAATGGGTGTCTTTTCAGGAACAGGTGCATCAATGTTTGCTAGGAGATCAGAAATAACTTTGATTTTCTGGCAGTATTCGGTTATAGAACGATTGCCTTGGACTAGAGTGCGCAACTCATTGTCCGGTTCAATTGCTCTGGAGTGTTTATTGTCTCTAAAAAGGGTTTCAATGGCTTCCCAGATAGAGTTGGCTGTTGATTTTGGTTTGAGAATCATGGTGAGTAATGACTGTGTCATTGTGCCATAGAGCCATGATTTGACAAGATTGTCAAGGTTGTCCCAATCGGTGTCTGCTGCGTCTTTGGGTTTGTGTGTGCTGTCAAGAAAACCATGGACACCATAGGCACGACAATGAGTGAGAAAGAGCTCCCGCCACGCATCGTAATTTAATTCATTTAGATCAAGAATAAGAGGAACATAAGACTTGATATTGATGCAGGTGAAAGGCTTATCTTTATCAGCCATGTCTGATAGAGAAGAAGAACATAATAGAGAAGAAGGAGAAGATTGACATGATTGAGAAGGAGAAGGTAGGGCCGGCTGGTGTATGGGTACCAAGGTTAAAGAGTCTCTGATACCATATTAGGAATGATTTTGCCTTTCTCGCCAATTTCATTAATCAATTGAATACTATATACATAAAGTAATGGGCTTATACGTACACACAAAAAGGCTAATCTAATGGGCTAAATACAAGATACATAATATACATTAATAGTTATCATCTTGTCTATTAGATATGGATTTTTTGTGGCAAAATTATGGACAACAAAGAGCTTATCAGCCTGGTCTTCTAAGGAATGGTGGGTTAGCATCCATAGACGGGACAAGGATACCTACGTGCTACGTCCTTATATGCCCCGGGCTATCCCCCCGTCTCTGTATTTGACTATGTCTTAGAGTCTTGGACCGACCCATGTAAACGTAAAGATAAGAGAAAGAGATTGGATATATTCAAACGTATCATTGTTTTCATCAGATCCATATATATAGGATTTGGAGTTTATCTCTTATATGTAATTTGTACGTGTGTGTGTGTGTGTGTGTATATATATATATATATATATATATAGAAATTAAATATCCTCCAACATTTTCTTTCTACAAATCTTCTGACTAAATTAAATAATAACATGAGTCACATTTAGTGCTCATTTAGTGATATATAAATATACTAAAATAGCACATGTCATCATTTATAGGAGAATTTGTAAGAATAAAAATAGGAGGATATTTAATTTCTCATATATATATATATATATATATATATATATATATATATATATATATATATATATATATATATATATATATATATATATATATATATATATATATATACACAATACAAAACCTATGAGGGTATTCACGACAATTAACCTTTTTGACTTGGTATTAGAGCCACTCCTAGGGCTCCGTCCTTTCTCTATCTTCTTTCGGCTTCTGATCCTCTATCTCAAAATCGCCATCACCATCTCTACCATTATCTATTCTAAAATTGCCACTGGTACTGTAAGCTTACTCGAACCAATTTCCTGTTATGGAAGGCCCAAGTCATACCCATACTACGAGGTGTCCTTCTCTATGGATACCTCGATGGCACTACACCAAAACCCAGTTCCAAATAACTTCTAGAATTGGCGCAAAAGTCAAAGAAATAGACAATCCCTTGTACAACACATGGTTCATTCAAGATCAAGCACTCATTGGGGCTCTTCTGTCCTCCATGGCAAAAGATGTGATTGCTCAACTCACAAGATGTACAAACTCGTCTGACGAGTTATGGACTTCCCTTAACACAATGTTCTTTGCTTAACATCGTGGAAACTCCATCCAAATACGCACTCAACTTTTGACTACTAAGAAAGGAGATATGACTGCATCAAAATACTATCAAAAAATGACTAGTCTTGCTGCTACTATGGCTAATATAGGCCACACCATGATTGATGAAGAAGTCATTGGATACATCTTAGCAGGTTTGGGACCATGCCATGACGATTTCTTCACTGCCATCACTATGCTAAGTAACCAGCAAGCTTTAACCCTTCCTAACTTCTACTCATATTTAATTGTTCATGAAGCATAAGGCAAAACCATGAACGTGACAAAAGTATCATCCTCTGCCAACAATGTGACGCGCCAAGAGAAAAACTCTTCACGGTGGAATTATAACAACAATGGTCCCTACAACCATTAACATGGAAACACAAAAAGGTGGAGGAAGCAATCGCGGCCGTAGACGAGGCCGTGACAGGGGTAATGAAGGTCCACGATGTCAGGTATGCAACATCCCTGCTCATACAACATTAATCTTTTGGAACAAGTTCAATCATGCCTATCAGGCTGAGGAGTATCGTGGGGGCAACAGTACTACCAGTAGTTATTTCAATGATCCAAGTTGGTACCTTAACATTGGAGCAACGAATCATCTCACAAACGATCTTGATCGTCTCATGGCGTAGGAACCATATCAGGGCAAAGATCAGGTTCAAGTGGCCAATGGAACAGGTTTGCAAATTACTCATACTGATCATTGTAAAATTCCTAGCTTAGGCAAACCTTTCTTTCTTAAAAACATTTTGTGTGTTCCTAAAATCAATAAACATCTCTTTTCAAGTTATAAACTTGTCTTTGATAATGATGTTTTCATTGAAATTCACCCAAATGCTTTTTTTTTGTTAAGGGCAAGGCCACGAAGAAAACCCTCCTCTTCGGTAAAAGCAACGGAGGTATTTACCTGGTGCTGATCAGTCACTATTCATTTCAAACTCCTCATCAGGTGTCCTCAAGTGTTCGAGTGTCTCAATCCCAATGGCATCAGCGTCTGGTCCATCCAATTTATGAAGTAGTCAATATCATTTTAAAGTTAAATAAATTAGGATGTTCTTTTAATAATAAATTTTCAGTGTGATGCTTGTCAACGTTCTAAAAGTCATCAGTTACCTTACAAAAACTTAGTTCATGTTATTTCATATCCACTTGAGCTTGTTCACACGGATGCTTGGGGACCTACTAAAGTGTGACATCCCCATTTTCACGGTCAGAAAAGACCGATTTGTTTATGATTTGTTTTATAAATCAGAGTATTCGTTTAAAGAAAACGGTTGCGGAATTTGTTCCCAAAACAAAATATGATAAGAATTTATCAAAGCATTTCTTTAAAGAAATGTATTTTCATTAAATAACAAAATCTCGGGATGTCATGTTCCAATACAGACCAAAAGCATAAACAATATAAAATAGACCTTACAACAGTTATTTATAACTACTTATCTATAATCCAAAACTTCTCGTCAAGTCCACCAACTTATACTCTTGTGCCATTACCTGTAATGCAAAGAAAACTAAGTGGGTCAAGCTTGGGAGCCTGGTGAGCATATAGGGTTTTCAACCCACAATAATATAATTATTATATTTAATCATCAAACAATCAACCTAATTACCTACCCTTATTATCTTCCTTACTCTTAAGGGTCTATCCTAAGAATCATCTATATGTTCACTCCGTATTAGGTACTAAGACAATAGCTGCCCGGATTCTTTATTAGGCACTAAGACAATACCTGCGAGGATTCTTTATTTGACACTAAGACAATAACTGCCAGGGTTCTTTACTTGGCACTAAGACAATAGTTTCCAAGGTTCTTTATTTGGCACTAAGACAATAGATGCCAGAATTCTTTATTTGGCACTAAGACAATAGTTGCCAGGGTTCTTTATTTGGCACTAAGACAATAGCTGCCAGGGTTCGTTCATCAGGTACTAAATCCATAACTACCAGTGTAGGTACTAGGTCCATAGCTATCATCGTCTATCTAACAATACTAAATCCATAGCTACCAACGTTCATCTATACGGTACTAAATCCATAACTACCAAGGTTCACCTTTCGTCTCGTCCTTCATCACACACCAACTATTTCGACTACCCATGTTCTACCCAACATATTTGTAGATATAAAATACATATATAGTTTAAATCATTTCAAAATATGTATAAAACATTCATTTGACAACCATCTCAAGTAAACAAACAACGTATAAACACATAACACGTATTTCATAGCAAATACTTCATATCTATGCGGTAGAAGAAAGTAACTACACACTCACACATATAAACAACAATATATATACACATAGCATTTATTTTATAAAATACTTCATATCTATGTGTAAGATGAAAGTGACTATACACTCACACAAAACATATACTTAATACATTCAAACAATACTTGTATTAAAATTGTGTTATGAAAGAGACTATACACTCACACATATAAACAACAATATATATATATACACATAA